ACATGTTTATCAAGGGGTTACTTATAACTCCTTATCCTTTAACAAAATTTTGTAGTATCCAATTACTTCAAAGAACCCTCTTAGAGAGTTCAAACATTTAGAAAGTGGCCAATTCATCATTGCTTCTACCTTGGCAGAATTAGTTGCAACCCCATATGCTGAAATGATATGACCGAGATACTTAACTTGTTTTTGACCAAAGAAACATTTGCATTTCTTGGCAAATAGGTGATGAAGTCTCAACACCTCAAAGACAAGTTTCAAATGTAAGATATGTTATTTTAGAGTAGTGCTATAAACCAATATATCATCAAAAAAATACTAACACAAACTTTTTTAGATACTTAGAAAACACATTACTCATCAATGATTGAAAGTGGTAGGTGCGTTAGTAAGTTCGAAAGGCATTACCTTCAATTCATAGTGTCTTTAATAAGTCTTGAAGGCTATTTTAGGGGTGTCCTTAGCTTTGACTTTGATTTGCCATTATCTGACTAAAAATCAATCTTGAAGAAGTACGTGACTTCATTCAATCCATCTAACAAGTCTTCCACTATTGAAATTGGAAACTTGTCTTTTAATTGTCATTGCATTAAGCTGCTTGTAGTAAATACACAACCGTCGTATACCATCTTTATTCCTTACCAATAAATAAAGTGTACCTTTTTTTTTGCCAATAAATCATGTGATAAATATGTGACTAATTAACCCAATAATTATAAAAATTAAATTAATTATGTTTAATTAAAAATAAATTCTTTCTTTCTTCAAAAATAAAAACTTATTGAAATTCAAAATTCATTTATTCAGTGTATTAATGAATTTTAAAGTGTATTTGTTTCATGGAGACTAAATACTAATAATGTATTAGTTACAAATAAGCTCATTCACACACTAAAAAAAGAAGAAGTGGAAGAATAATTGTTTTACACTTAAATTAGACATCTGTAAAGCCTATGATCATTGGTGTGGTCTTTTATTGAGGCGATCAATTAGAACCAAGTCAAAATACATGTTTTGGGATTTTTCTAGTCCAACTATGTCTTGTAGTAAAATGGTTTCTTATTAATTATAAATTCCAAATAATTTAGAAAATCCAATTTAATTTAGTTTTTTATATGAAATCAAATTTCTTAAACTTAAACCATTTAGGAATCAAAATTCAACAAGAATCAACATTGCAATAAGGTTTGGCTGAAAACTATTCAAAATAGGAAAGTATCATGTGGTGAGGGTTATTTAGATGGAAACCTTAATATGTTTGGCTTTGGTTGCTATGCCACATTTATTAGGCTATCGTACAAAAGTTTTAAACTCTTTCCCATGCTTTCTTATGCATCTAGTCATGATTCTTTAATCATAAATAACAATTACTTAAACTTTTACAAAAACAATACACTAGATGATTAAGAAAGCAAATATTGAAATCTTGGTGAACAAGTTTTATAAGATTTCCAACATTGATTACTAGTTGGTTTTCATTAAAACTTTGATGAATAAGTTTTTAAAGTCTCTTAACACTTAAGAATACCAATTGTATCAAGAAAGTCAATTACCACAATCACATGTGATCTTTTTATGCATCACATGCATATTATACATGTCCAGCCACCACTGACAAATTTCCAGTTATAAATTGTTATCAACTTTTGAATAACCAAATTAACTCCAAAAATTCTCAAAATTTAACACAATGATAATCAATATGTCTATTTTCATATGTTAAAATTTTGTAGCAAAATAATAGCCTTAGAGTTAGAAATAATTTTTGCAATATCACTTCAGTAGGATTTTCCTATTTGTGGATAGATTGTAAACAAAAACTTTATAGACAATGCAAACAATGTTCATAAATCTTAAATTCATATCCAATTATCTTGAGACATCATGCTTTGATATTCTAAAAGAATCCAATCAAAACAATATAGAAAAACTCAAAATTTCAGTCTCTACATAACAGTAACAGATAATAATCAAAATAGTTTTGATATTATGAATAACCAAACAAGTTTCTAAGTTGTGTAATTTATGTTGATGAGGTTTGATACCATTTGAAATGAATTATGTATCAACATACAGAGTTATAGCAATGGAATTTTAAAATTTTTAACTCTTTAAAGTCAAGATCAATCACTAAAATTACACAAAAAACAATATAAGAGTTTCAGCCAATGGTGGTTACCTTTAGTGTTAACTTTGCATTTTTCCAAACAAGTGATCACCTAAATTCTTTTACAAGCCAAAAAGCTATTTAAAGGTGTAGCCTTTAATGGTGATTTACACGAATATTTATGAAAGAACATTCTCTAAGGATGTGAGAAACAAGACCTACACTTTAGCTAGTGAGTATTTCAAAAACTTTCTTTTTTTATATCTCAAGTTTTTGTTCTCAACACATAAGATGATAGTGTTCTCTCTTAGAATAGATCTTAGCTTTTTTTAGCATTAGTTTGTAGGGTGGCTAATGTTCATTTTATAAGGGGGTTTGGCTAATTTAGAATTATGCATAAGTAGTATAATTCCTAATTAGCTTTTACGCTAACTAAATGTACATAACAAGTAAACATTGTGTCTCTCATTTATTTTTTGTATATTTGGGTCTAACCCAAACCAAATTAAGTCTAACTTAATTTAACATAAGTTTAATCCTTCAAAATTATCTTTTTATGTGTGATCCATTAGGTTATTTAGTATGATGGTAATAAGTATTGTAATACTTTATATTTGGCTTAGATAAATCAAACATTTTTACTTTATCACTAATTATCCAATTAGTCAATCTCATGTTTATAGATCATGATTAATGCTAGTTATATTATCATGATCCTTAATTGCTAAAGAAAATCAATATAGCTTGATAACATATTTGTGTATGGTCTTAATGTATAATTAATATCATTTCATCACTAAGCATCTTGGCTTAAGTATTGAGTATGGTTTAGTGTCTATTCAATATTATTCAAACATATTAAATATTGTCATAGATATTAACTTACAAATAAATTTTTATAACAATTTTAAGTTAATTGAGATATCGTTTTGATTAAATAAAGTGATGAATCCCATCTTGATTATTTCATATATCTTCATATGCCTCATGTTATACCTAAAAATACTTGACTGAAACAATCTTGGTTAGAACCATAAGTAAAGTAAAGTTAAAGTATAACACTCATCATATAAGATCATAAATAATCTCAAATCAAATAATCACTTATATAACTATCATATGATAATATAGCTATAGATACTATATGAATTACCATATAGCATTATCATCTTAGGTCATGTTCAATGAACTTGTTTTTACAATGAGCACCCACATGTTATCTCAAGTTTACCCAAACTTCAATTTATGAGAATAGTTACTTGCTTCATAAGCAAAAGTGTAATCATGTACTAATCTCAATAGTTTTTGTTAATATCCTTTTATTGATAAAACATCGACTACGAACTATTTTGGAATATATAGTTTTTATGCAATAATGATATCATAATTACGATTTCATTGTAATTTCTTTGCAAAATTTTGTTTATATTCCAAGGACATTATCATTTAAGCATCAACAATAATATATATATATATAAGCTTAATGATAAAACAATTAAGACCTTTGTTAGATTTTAAATATTAAAATATCACAAATATGATAATGTTTGAACCAAAATTGATTTGGCTTGATAGGCAAATACCAACGAATTCTATCTTCAAATATGCATTAGCTCCAAAAGTAGTCCGCAAATCATTTTTAAAACAAAATTGATGTGGCTATATAATATAATAGAAATTTTTTTATATTTTCATATAATTAAAGTACATTCTTAATATAATAATTTAAATATTTATCTAAATAAAAAAATAAACAATTAAATAAGAAAATCAATAAATAACAAAATAAAAAAATAAAAGAAAATGAAAAATAAAGAAAAAAACAAAGCCAAAAAAAAAAAAAATTCAGAACTTATAATATATGACAAAATTAATTCTATCTTCAAGCATAAACATTAACTTCATACCATCAAATAGTTTTTTAAGACAATTTATGTGGCTATATAATATAAGTAGGGGATAGTTTTAACTGTTTGCATAGATTAGGCTATATAATATAAGTAGGGGATAGTTTTAACTGTTTGCATAGATTAGGATCAACTTTCATTGTTTGTAGTTGATTATAATTTTTTTAAACTATTGATTTATTAAAAAAATTAATATAACACAAAATTTTAATGTGTTAATATTTAATAATTTAAAATTATTTTTAATAATTATTTATATTTTTATAAATTTTGAAGGTTATCTATTTTTAATTAAAAGTATTTTTAGTTGTAAGTATATAAATTAAAAAATTATTTTCTGTTACTAGAATTAAATTCAATTTTTACAATTATAGATTATAAATAAAAGTTTCTTTGTTTACACTTTTACATCATAAAGATTTTTTTTATAATATCAACAATCAAAATCGTAGATATATTGTAAGTTAATTAATATATAATTTGAATAATTTAATTACATACTCAAATTCAAAATATTTTGTATTTAAAATAATTCAAATATAAAATATTTTAAATTGAACATGACCTAAACTAAAAAATAATTTAATTAAATAATAGGGATGCCAATATATAAAATATTAGATATGTAAAATATTCTCCATCCACATCTTTAATTTTTTATATTATACATATTCTATATTTATATATAACAAATATTTCAAATTTAATTTCATTTCATTCTCATAATTTTTTAATGGATATAAGTAATTTTTATTTTATATATTTAAATAATTTTTTTTTATAAATATATATTTTTTAAAGACAAGTAAACCAATTCTAATAAATTTAAAATAGATGTAAAAAAATAAAATTCCTTCTTGAATTTGGGTAAGATACGTCCTTTCCAAATAACCTTGCCAAAGTGATACGATTTAACCACGACCATCCTTCAGTCTTTAACCGCTTTTCATTCAAACAACAAATGGACCAATTCAACGGCCCAGATTGGGCCTCAATCGATGAGAACTGTTGAGAATTCTAGATCCTTCTGTAATTCAGTTTCCAATGGGAATGAAAACAAACGCCTACCTCTCAGCTACATCTCAAAGTGTTTCGACTTTAGATCTGGACCGTCCATTTTCACCCATATAAGTCAATCTCTAACCACTCCTATACCCCTCTCTCTTTCTCGCCGTCTCGCGTGCGCTCTTGTGGCTCTCTTCAACCCTCGCATATCCATTCAAGATCTGTTAGTTCTCTCTCCTTTAAATCTCAAAATTTTTTATGATCTGATTTTTGTGGGTATTTATTGTTATTTTTGTTTTGTGCTTTGGGGATCTGATCAGAAAAAAAAGATGTTTGGGAGAGCACCAAAGAAAAGCGATAATACCAAATACTATGAGATATTGGGTGTATCGAAGAACGCCTCCCAAGATGATTTGAAGAAGGCTTATAGAAAAGCTGCTATTAAGAACCATCCTGATAAGGGTGGTGACCCTGAAAAGGTTTTGTCTTTTCTTCTTTTCTTTTTCGCTTTATAGATTGATTTGGTTTTTTATTTTTTTATTAAGTGGAAAGGGTTTCTTGAGTTTTGCCCAGTATATCTCTTTCCGGATGATCGAACAGGTTTATCCGCACTGGACTTACCGAATTCATGGAAATTTCTGTTCCAACAGCCTCCAGCGGATTCAGTCACAGTTGATTTGGTCCATTAGTCAACTGCGATTTTTTTGTTTTGTTGATTCTGATTGTTGATTGGAGCGAATTATGAACTGATCTGTTATTTTTAGCATATGCTTTGATTTTATTCTTTTTGAATTTCTTGTTTTGTTTTGAATGAAGTAATTGGTCATGAATCGGTTTGAAAGGTTGATAAAATTGAAGTCCAATTATTTCTACAATGGTTAAAAAATTTGGGGGTTGGAGTATGTTGGATTAAATGTTGTTGACTTGTCTAGAAAGTAGCTTGCTTGAATACGGTTGTGTTTTGGAATTCAGTTTAAAGAGTTGGCTCAAGCTTATGAGGTGCTGAGTGACCCGGAGAAGCGTGAGATATATGACCAATATGGTGAGGACGCCCTTAAAGAAGGAATGGGTGGAGGTGGTGGTGCCCATGACCCATTTGATATCTTCCAATCATTCTTTGGAGGCAATCCTTTTAGTGGTGAGACTTTGAAATAAAACTTGGTATTTCAATTTTGGTGATTAAAATTTTAGAATTGTTAATCACTTTGAGCTAAAAGCTTGGTTGCCTGTGCAGGCGGTGGAAGCAGCAGAGGCCGAAGACAAAGAAGGGGAGAGGATGTAATCCACCCCCTCAAGGTTTCTTTGGAAGATCTCTACAATGGAACATCCAAAAAGCTTTCTCTTTCACGCAACATAATTTGCTCTAAGTGCAAGGGGTTAGTATTTGAATTGAGTAAAGTTTGTGGCATTGATAGTGGTTAGACTGCTTCTTTCTTTGGTCTATGTTAACAGAAGTTGTTTTACGTGAAAATTTTGCAGCAAAGGGTCCAAGTCAGGTGCATCAATGAAATGTTCTGGCTGTCAAGGTTCTGGAATGAAAGTTTCCATCAGACAACTTGGTCCTGGCATGATCCAACAAATGCAGCATCCTTGCAATGATTGTAAGGGTACTGGTGAGACCATCAATGACAAGGATCGCTGCCCACAGTGCAAAGGTGAGAAGGTTGTGCAGGAGAAGAAAGTCTTGGAGGTTATTGTTGAAAAGGGTATGCAGAATGGACAGAGGATTACTTTCCCAGGAGAAGCTGATGAAGCAGTATGGCCGATATATCTGTTTTTTGCAATTTAATTACGAACTTGGCATTTTGTTTTATATCTTTGAATACATCTTTCTTGTTGTTGCTAACTTGGTTGTTTGACAACAATTTCTTTTTCGCAGCCTGACACAGTCACTGGGGACATTGTATTTGTCCTACAGCAGAAAGATCATTCCAAATTTAAAAGAAAGGGTGATGACTTATTTGTAGAGCATACATTGACACTTACTGAAGCACTTTGTGGCTTCCAGTTTATACTGACCCACCTAGATGGCAGACAACTCCTCATCAAGTCACAACCTGGGGAAGTGGTTAAGCCTGGTAAGTGGGCAATTTCTGCCAACTTGGATAGACTGCACCTTTCCTTTTGATCAAATACTGTGCACATTTGTTATTTTTGGGTTGTATCATTAGCTTTTGAATTTAATTGATTTAAAATGAACCATCTTCACGATTTAGTGGGTATCGGTCATTCTAATTGGTGTTTATTGATATTAATCTTTCTAACTGGTGTCCCTGTTTTATGTGCATGTGATTTCGATACTTCTTCTTTGTATAACATAGATCAATTCAAGGCCATAAATGATGAAGGAATGCCTATGTATCAAAGGCCATTCATGAGGGGTAAACTGTACATTCACTTCACGGTTGATTTTCCCGACTCCTTAACCCCCGACCAGTGCAAGGCACTAGAGGCTGTTCTACCTCCAAGGACCTCAGTCCAGCTGACTGACATGGAGCTGGATGAGTGTGAGGAAACCACTCTACACGATGTTAACATTGAGGAAGAGATGCGTAGGAAGCAGGCACAGGCTCAAGAGGCTTATGAGGAAGATGAGGACATGCATGGTGGTGCCCAGAGGGTGCAATGCGCTCAGCAATGATAGAACAAATGTCAGTGCAGGCGGTGGCTTGGCTGAGGAATTGGCCTGATGTGGGAAGGTACGGAATGTATTATGCTTTAACAAAATTACTTGAGAATCAGATTCTCAACATTATTGTTGTTTGCTAGTCTTTTTATATAGAGTACAAGTTTTTCCTAGTGGAATTCGTGTGATATGTTTTGGAAACTGATAATGTATGGAAGGATTTAGCTTTGGAACTTGACATACTTGTTATCGTATACCACCTTTTGCTTCGTGTGATGTTTGGAATATTTTTTGTTGTTTTTTCACTTAAATTTGAGAAAATTATTTAGGATTATTATCTAAGGGCGATAATGGTTTGATTTTGATTCAGTTATTGTGGTTAATCTGTGGTATCGTGGATTTTTTGTTTTAAAGAGTCATCCGAATTTGAATTTAATTTTTTTAAAAAATTGATTCGAATTGATTAATTCGATCAATTAGGATTATTAGATTATAAAAATTAATTTTTTAAAAATTTTTATGATAATATTTTAATATATTTAAAAAATTTAAGTATAAAATAAATTTTTTTATTTTATAAAAAATTAAAATATATAAAAATTAATAAATATATATAATGAGATTTGATTTGGATATTTTTGGTTTTTAATCTTTCGAGTCAAATATAATGAATTTAATATCCTAACTGAAATTGCATTTATAAAAAAAATTATTTTTGAATTGAATATTATAATTTTAAATTGATATTAGGTTTTCAATTCTTTTTTGTCAAATCTATTATTACCTCTTGCAAAATCTTCGTCAGGAGTATTTCCAACGTGTCACTTGTTCTCTGAAAAATCATCCCAAAGACGTCTATTCGATAGATTTTGTAGAAAGAAACCAGAAGGTATGATTCCGAGTATAAGAACAATGGCATGTTGATAGCCAATTGCATAGCGTAATTCTCTTTCGGATGGTACTTTGGGATCTCTCGTATACATGCAAAATTTTTTCCCCTAGAACAAATAGGGATATTTGGGTGTTTGATACGAGATAGTCATCAAAAAAATTATGATAATTTATATACGATGATTACAGTAAAATACTTGGTGATATCACATGAGCATGTAAAATTTTTTTCGAATAACTAGGGATATTTTGTTATTTGGTATGGGATGAACATTTAATAAATTATAATGATTTATACATGATTATTAAATTATTGTATTTAATAAGTATTTAATAATTTTATGTAACAGTGATTTTCGATCATTGAAAATGATCAAATTATTATTTTAAAAAGTGATTTAATTCTCATTCAAAAAGAAAAAATTTTTATTACTAAAATGAAATTATGTATAATGGTATTCAATATTATTCATTTAGTATGTTAACTAAAAACTTATTATTTTTTTCAAAAGTATAATTATTTTTTATTAAATATTTTTTATTTTAAAAATAATATTCATTGTAACAAATTAAAAAATAATTTTTTTTAATAATTTTTTAATGTTATATATAATATATTCTTTTTACTTGGATTAATATTTTGAATGGTCTCTAAATTATAATGAAATACTTAATGTAATATTTAAACTAAAATTTTTTTTATTATGGTACATAAACAATGAGTCTATTAATTAATTTGATACTTAAAAAGTTGTATGTTCATTATGTATTATCATTTGAATTTAATCATATTAAAAAATCAGTATTACATTAGTTAACAAATTCATATTTCAAATATCATATTACAAATTTTTAAAATTTAAATATTTCATTGAATATTTTGCTATAGTTTAATGCAATTCATTACATTGACCTTTTAATTTTCTTTTGTTATGATTTTAATGAATTAGCTTTATTTTTTAATTTAAATATTTTTTATATAATTTATTTATAAAAATTAGTTACAAGTAGTCTATTTATCAATAAATATATTTAATAATTTAAATAATTTGATTATATTTTATTAAAAAGTAAATAAAAAGTTAAATTATGCCAATAATTCATATATTATATCAAAATTTAAAATTTATTCCATATAATGTAATTCATACAAATGTTGTCATTATATTATTTTAATTTGATAACTTTAATTCAATAATTAATTCAATTAAAATTTTGTTGTTAAAATGCAGACGTGGCCATATGATTCGATCCCTTTCAGTTGAAAAACTCTTGAGGAATCTTTTTGTTAAAGAACAGATTGATCCTATAAGTTAAAGCATCGATCAAATCTTGTTTTTTGAAATTTATTTAACTTAGGCTTAAATTTGATAAAAAATAGCTGGTGTTAATTAAATAAAAAACTTTCTTGATTATTGTTAAACGAAAACCAAGAGGTTGAACGAAAATATTGGGAAGGTGACCGAAGACTTCAGAAAACTTGAACTTCAATTTATCAAATCAAAGCTGGCTTCTAGCAACTAAGATCCTCCCCATATTTCGATTTAAGTGAAGAATAATTTGAAATTGGAAACTCTTCATCGTTCGACATTCTTCTGTTTTATCAAGATTTTTATGTTCTTTCACCTCAAATATATTAAAGTAGAGTTTTTTTCCCCAAATCATAGTATTTTAAAATCTTTATTCTCAAAATAAGGTGATTTTAATTTTATTTCCCAAATTAAGGTACTAAGCCACGCCGCATCATCTTTATCATTATTAATTTAATAAAAATTAATGAAAATGTTGAATTTATCTCATGATTAATTGATTTTTTTTCATTCGTTTATTAGATAAAAACAATATGCTTTATCATTGAAGAATAAAATGTAAATCTCACAAACAAAACTAAGCAACGGACACTTAAGTTTTTGGATCTAAGGTTTAATTAACAAGAATTTTCAACAAAGATTTGAATGTTATTTTAAACTGGAAAAAGGAATTTCTTTGTTTTTTTGGTCCTTTTGCAACTGGTTTTCTTTCTTTTTCTTTTTTCATTTTTTAAACTCAATTAGAAAAGAAGCAGTCCTATGCTTGTTAGTAAAGAGATAAATCTGGTGAGCATTTAACTAAGATGGACTTTTCCTCCAAAAGATATATGAAAGATGGCTTGCAAATTGCAAACCAATTGATCAATTTCTGTAATCGAAGGTACACTTCAGTTTCAAAATTCAATTGATTAAATAATTAGCAACATCCATAACACACGGTTCCAGCTTTTTTAGAGAGGTTATTTATGATCAGAGACCATTATCTCACAACTCTCCCTGTAGATGTAGGCTTTAATGTGAAATTGAAGAACGGTTTATCTAAATTTTCATGCAATCATCAATCTACCAAGTTCCAATTGCATAAAATCTTATACTTTTATCAATTTTCAGATCACTGATCAATTCAAAAGAGGCTTCTGAGAATGAACTAAACTTTATCTATCGACTTGAGAGAGAATAATGTGACCTATAGAAAGTCTCGAATCTGAAAAAAAAAAAATCATTTCAAAAATTTAAGAATATTAAATTTTAAACGATAACATTTTCTTTTAGCACAAAAATCTCAAAAATTGATTTTGGTAGGAGAGATGAGATAGAAAAAATTCGCCTAGCTATTGAGAGAAGGAAAGTGTCATTCTAAGTGGAAATTGATAGAACTTATATAACTAATTTCATCATGAATAAGAATTTTGATATTTTAAGAATGATTTAAAAAAAAAAAAAAAAAAAGAAAGAGATTGCAGGGAGAAAGACAAGGATTAGTTGCAGGGAAAAAGAAACAGGAAAAGTTTGAAGAAAGCAGATGACGACGTGGCTTAGAGTACCTTGTTTAGGTAAATATGATAAAAATTACTCCTATTAAAAAATAAAGATTTTAAAATATATTAGTGTTGGAAAAAGCTCTAAAATAGAACGAATTCTAAAGACCTGTGCCTTTTTACCATTTATTTCTTTTTATTTAAATAAGCTTGTTTTTTTTAGATTTGGATTTTTGTCGTAACTTATAAGTTTGTGAACTTGACTACTAGATAAAATATATAGAAGTTGCTATCAATATTTTTTGGTTAGTTATGATTAATTACCTAATAAATTTATTTTTTTAAAAATATCTTAAACTTAACATGGATTTTAAAAGAATATATTTTTGTTTATATTTCAAAATTAGGTCTAAGATTCGGTTACATGTGTAGAAGATTAATTATTAATTATTTTAATTTTTGAAATAATCTTAATTAAGTTTGAATTTATTTTATGAAAAATAAGTAAAAATTCTTTTTATTAAAAAATTTCTGAAAGAATCCTTTCAACATAATAGGTAAAATTAATTTAAAAAAATTTTTCACTTAAAAATTCTTAATATGATAACTTTCGTGTTTCCTTTCTTAATTCCATCATCAAAGAATTCAACTTACAATCAAAATTTTATGAACTAATTAAATTTATTTTATGAAAATGTAAATAAAAATTCATTTCATTGAAATATCTCAAAAAAAAAAAAAAAATCCTCCCAACGTACTTTGTAAAATTAATTTGAAAAAAATTCATCACCTATAAATTTTCAAGGTGATAGCCTTTATGTTCCCTTCTTAATTCCACCGTCACGGAAATTTTACTTACAATTAAGGTTATAAATTAATTAAATTTATTTTATAAAATTTCCTTCTATAGAAAAGTTTTCAAAAGTCCTCCCAACGTGTTTGTAGAATTAATTTAAAAAAAAAATTCTTTACCTAGAAACTCTCGTGGTGATCATTTTCATGTTCTTTTCTTAATTCCATCATTATGAGAATTTTATTTACAATTTAGTTAATTAAATTACATGATACAAGAAAATTAAATTTACCAATTATTTAACCTGTGTCTAATTTTTATTTACTTATTACAATATATTCCCATTTTAAGAATTTAAATATATATAAAAAACAAGTAAAGGAAATAAAAAGAAGTTAAAAAGAAAGTCAAAATAAAAAGGAAATCAAAATGAAAATATAAAACAAACAAATAAAGAAGAAAGGAAGCTTTATATAAGGGTCGGGTCAGAAGTTAAGTGTAATATGGGTCAAAGTTGAGTTCACATGGATCTTGTGCAATTAAACCTTTGCAAACGATGTTGTTTTAATGGTCCTTAAAATGTTTATAATGACAAATTGTTGATTCACTATTTTTAAGGTAGTCTTATTGGATCTGCAACAAGGTCATAAACCCAATTAGATTGAAGTAAGATTTACTCCTAAAAAGATTTGACTAGAGCTTTACTAGCATGATGCAAGCATATTAAAGATATGGCACCAAATAGGTTGTCCCCACAAAACATAGAGAAAAGGTCAATCTAAAATTGCAAGGAGTATACACACAAATAGAAAGAC